GGGAGAGGTAGTAGGATTTAATAGAGATATTGAAGCTAGTGAGAGTTTTCTCAGTTACAATGTCGTTATAGTCGGTGTTCCTGAAAGTCAAGCTTACACGCGCACAAAGCAGCGGGCAAAAAGCTAGTTTATAATATATTCGTTATTTGCAAGAAGATTTTATTTCATAAAAAAATAGCTTTCAAGTACAACAAAATTCTTATGAAAGCAACGCAGCGTCAACCCTATCTATAACAAAGGAAAAATAATACCTCTTTATAATCGATGAAGATATCGTGTGACAAACGAAAATAAAAGTCAATCGACAACCTTTAAATGCCCCTTAAAAATAGAAACCATTTGGGTGCGTTTCTGAGTAGCTGATAGATTTTTCTTTGTTTTTTTTTTATACTACTGCCGTGGAAAGCATACGGCCAACTTGATGGAAAGTGATTACCGTAGCCTATGAACGCCTGCAATACCAGGAGCAAAACGCGAGCATTGCCAACCCTAAAGAAATCTCTTTATTTCTTTTTTGAAGAATCTCATGCTGTAGCCTTTTTTTATACCACTGAGGTGGCAAATAAACAAACGGCCCACCTGATGGTAAGTGGTTACCGTAGCCTATGAACACCTGCAATTCCAGAGGTATTACGCGTGCGTTGCCGACGCTGAAGAAACCTCTTTACCCCCCTTTTGAAGAACCCATGCTGTAGTCTCTTAGGAAAACCTCGGCAGGGAGCTCACTCCATAACCTGAGCGTTCGTGGGTGGAAAAATATCTGAAACGTATGTAGCCAGTTTAATGCGTTGTTCAAGGAACATCCTAGAACTTAAATTTCCGAATGATTTGGATTAAGGTCTTAGATGATTTAAATTGATCAAAAACGTCAACATAGGGTTGTCACGATCTTCCGTTACGTATTTTGTAGAAAAAAAAAAACCTTTAAATATTGATATAAATCAATATTTTCTTTTCGAAGAATAAGTGATTGTTTTCTTTTTCGTTTCAGTTACCGTAATATGAATTATGCAGAAATGCTTAAGCACCGTCCGCTTCGAATAATCACTTTGACATTTGCGGAGAAATAAGGTCATTTAAATGTTATCCATTATTAATCCTCCATTACTATTAAAAATGCTGACTGTTTATGTAATACTTCTTGGGTCAGATATCTATAAGGTTAACATTTACGCGATTTCCTTTGGAAACCATTGCGGTTAATTTTTTATTAAATGGTTGTTTGGTTAGTATTATTTTGTTTAATTCCGCTATCATTAGTATGTGTGCGACTGCCAACACTCAATGTTTGACCACCACTATTATTACCAAAAGTTCCACAACCTTCCAATTAGCCATCACTTTCCGACTGCTATTGTTACCTCTAAACGAGACATTTTCGGGCAAATTGTTAGAATGCTGCTCGGAGCCTAATGTTAATCATTCAGCACCCATTTATGTTAGCGGAATTAAACAAAATAAACAAAATAAACAAAATAATTCTATATATATATATATATATATATATATATATATATATATATATATATATATATATATATATATATATATATAAGAAATAACCAGTGATATGGACTTCTGTAAGATAACAGTCTTAGTTCAGTAAAAAATTTTTTGATTCATCACGATTGGACGATTCACACGTAGGCTTATACCGACAGCGAAGATGAGGTTACCATTTTTACCATCTCATTAAAAAAGAAACTTCTTGTATTTTAATGGCTCAGCCGATGATTGGCTTTTGGAATATGGAGTACGTATGTGAGACGGAGAATATTTACATACTACTTTTATCAACCGACTTTAAAAAGAAGGTTTTCACATCGGTTATATTTGTTTTATAATTGTTACCTCATAACTCCGTTAGTTCTAAATGGATTTGGAAAAATCTTTTTTATTTAAAATAATAAACTTACAGATTGATCTCAAAGAAATTTTAACAAAATTGGTTGTGTCATTTAGTTTTTAGATAAAAATAAATGGTTTGGTCAGAATTATAATTAAACTTTTTGAAAATAAAAAGAAACAGTTGTGTTTCTTGCCCGTTCTTCTCGGAAATTGCTTTTCGATTTGACGGTATTGAAAAAACTTACTATTCAGAAATGTTTAAATCTAAGTTTACTTGAATAAACAGATTTCTTTTTTTCAATTTAAATCAGTTTTTTTTTTCTGTGGGACTCAATCTTTTATTATTAATTAGAAAGTTATATTAATTAGTGTTTGCATAGCTGTGTTTCGGTTTGAAGGGTGGGATATGGCGTGAATTTATAGGGTACAGAGGAATAATATCTGAGTCCTCAGGAATGGCAACGTATGGGGGGTATCATGGGTGAAACAGTATACTCTGTTATGTCCATGGTACTGCTCATGTCTATAGGCGACGGTTATCACTTTCCATCAGCTTATTTGCCATTCTAAGTTGTATAATTTTTTTTTTTAATATTATTATGAAAATAATATTAAAATATCCAAATCATGTTTTATTAATGGTTATGTGATTAAAAATTCAACTCAGAGCGCCTTCTACCATATTATTTGTTAATCCCACGTCATTTAGAATATCATTTCATATAAAAATAATATAGAAATATTATTCTGCCATTACCAAAGCAGGGATATAGGCGTGATGTGTTTGTAATTGATCGATGTGTTTGTTACTTGTAAATTATTCATAATATTTTTATATTTATAAGCCAATTCCAGAAGTTCATAATTTATTCATGTTATATGATGTGATTGAACGCGAATTAATAACTATTGAGCTTGTAGGTAAAAAAAGCCAATTTCATCTGAATTTTATTATTATATGAAATCAAAAATCATTATTAAAGCTGAAAATCAGTGTTTTGTTCCTTGAACAATGTTACACGCTGAGCTTTCGACCTTTTTGTATTGCTGCAGATCACACATAATAACACAATTTTATAAATCTTATGTTGTTTTATGTATTATCTATTCTTATGTACATGTTGTGTTTAATTAGTAACAAACAAATAAACGATATATCTATCTATCTATCTATCTATCTATCTATCTACATTAGTATATCCTATGCCGGTCAAGCGTGGAAACTACTGGCAAAACCATTTTTTTTTAAACATCTATGTAAAAACATTACTCAGTTACAATATTATTATATAAGTAAGATGTAAAAGTTTTCAAAGACGTTTACATGTATGTATGTTTGTTACTCATTCACACTTAAACGACTGAACAGATTTGAATGACGTTTAGTGCAGGGGTAGATTATATCCTAATTTGAGACACAATAATATCAGTCGAACTGTCCACTGCTCAGGTACGGTACTAAGCCACCTGCATCCGCTGACTCTCTCCAATGCATTTGAAGTCGTCACTCCATATATTGGGGGATTGTCTCATACTGCATATTTCTGTATGTGGTCGCTCAAGAACCTTTCTTCTCTATCATTTGTCAGTTCTTCGAGCTCGAAGCTAGTCTAGTCTAGCTAGTAATGGGCTAGTAGTGACAAGCCCATTACTACATATTTCAACGTGCTTATCCTTCGGGCTATGGCAGTAAATATAGAATTGTGCTGAGTTATCCTATATTTAATCAACTATTTAATCCAGCGTTCAAGCTCTACAAATGTGTTTGTTCAGCATTACAAAGGCTTCCTGTCGGTCAGTTTATCACGAACTAAATCAGCACAGACCAATTAGTGAACGAAAAGTCAAAGAAGCCGCTAAATTAAAATTACAGAACCGTCGATAGCAGCCCTCGCCGCTGAGTGGTTCGATTCAATTTAAAACCCCCTTAAAATGTGCAGTTGTGAATGAAAAATAAATATTTACTTATAAAATATGGCGTGGTGAGTGGCGGCGGTTGAAAATGTGATTAAAACTGACAAGTGGCAAAGAAAATTATAAAATTTGATGAAGTAATCCAATAATTAATTCTTGGGTTTCTAGAATAAATAGGGTAGAGTTTTAATTGAAATAGGCAAAGATTTAAGTTGAGAGTCTAGGTCATTGAAGCCTCAAGGTCATAAAAATCTTTGTCACATTATTGTTGTTTCTTTTAGAGGATAAATACAGGGAGACATTGTACAAATGTCGTCTGCTTGGGCACCTCTGTCCCATTCGTGTTTCTACCGTGAACCAGTTGTGTTTTCATGGCTGTGTTTCGGTTTGAAGAGTGGGATATGGCAGTGAATTTACAGGGTACAGAGGAATAATACCTGAGTCCTCAGTAATGACAACCAATGTGGAATATTATGGGCGAAACAGTATACTCTGTTATGTCCATAGTACTGCTCATGTCTATAGGTGACGGTTACAACTTTCCATCAGATGGGCCGTCAGCTTGTTTGCAATTCTAAGTTACATATAAAAATTGTTCATATCTGTTAATATAACTTGTAACAAATAAATAAATAAGTAAATATATAAATGAATATCTGGTCAAAAACCCATACTTGTATTCAAATGTCTATCTCTGTGTTATGTTTCTATTGGCATTCATGGCGTCCCTTCCACTCTACCAGCCCTGAAGGCAAAGGTTATGGTATGCTTTCAAAAATTCCATCGACTGTATCAGTATTTTATTTGCTAGACACGTATTTTTAAGGGTCGCTCGTTATTTTTTACCTATTTGTTATCGACAGAACTATAAGAAACTATTATTATGTAATAAAAAAAAAACACTAGTGTAATATATATATTTTTGCAACTTAAAATGGCAAACAAGCTGACGGCCCAGCTGATTCAAAGGATGTATTGGACAAGCAAATGACTTTTGTATAGTCTCCCTCTGTCGGTGAGTTGTGAAAAAAGTGCTTGTAAACAAAATATTAGAAGCGGCTCAGACATATCTAGAGTCGGGTTCAATACATTTATAACTTTGTATGTTAGCACACTAGATTTATAACATTGATTTGGCTTTTGCTGTTATAATGTTATAATTATTTTTAATGAATAAATAAATAAATAAAGTATAGTTTAGTAAGATTATGTTTATTTAAAATTTATGTTAATTACAGGTAGTCTATTTATACCGGTGCAGCGACACTTGGCAGCACGAGGGGTGCTTCTTTAACAGGTATGTGAATTTTCTAACAAATAGCTATAGTTGTTAATCAATTAATAATTTATTTGCAATATTATAGACCGGTATTCGCGGTGTGGTCCCGGCATAGAAGGGGCCACCCCTTCCTTTCCCGTGTAGTAAGAGGCAACCAAAGTAATTTAATTGTAGAGAATAGGCAGTAGCGTCCCTATTTTTTTGATGGGTGAAAATGGAATGGTAACCCCGCCTGCGCTAACGGGATACGCTGGCGGAGCACCAGTGAAGGGTGATAGATGAGAATGAAAACAGGCCAATTAGCCCATCATGATGAATTCATCAGGAATTAACCATGATAGTTTCCATGGAGAACCGCCAGGAGGTCGACCTGGTTGGGTAGAAGTAGCGTCCCTATTAAAACTTCATGAAAGCAGCTTAATTTTGGTTACCAATAATACCATCTGCCAAGTATGGCAACTACTGGCAGAATCCCTCAATGGCAAAGGCAATTTATGGTGGAGGCGTATCTTAAGCAGTAAATAAATAATGGCTTATATGTTGATGGTAAATGTAGGTATAGTTAACAATTGGATCTTTATATATTACTCGTTTATATGTAATTAGAATGATATGTTTTGAATGATTTTAAATCATCATGACTTCTGTATTGTTGATTAATATAAATAATTAAAAATGAATTTGACATATGTATATAATATTACGATGCAATTGACACTGTTTATTGCAGAATTTATTTATTATAATTTATTGTTATTATTATAGTTATTGGATGGTTGTAATATTCAAGTTAATGTAATGATTTTTGTATGTTCATACCTTATTTCAGACACAATGTACATTGTTTTTTGAATAAATGACTAATGACTAATTATAATTAACCCCACTTATTAAACTTCAGGTATTTAAACCTGAAGTTTCAAATTTGATACCGGGGTTATAAATCGCATTGGGCGCCTACAATCGATTTTATTTTAATATTCGGCTGTTACATGTTACCAATGTTTTTTTTTTTTGAAAATAAATATATAAATATATCGTTTTGATTTTTCTTTTACTATTTTTCCCCAATTAGTAAACACAGTAAAAGTATAAGTGTACCCTTATATATTTTTTAATTTTATTTAAAAAATTAAGCTTCTAAGAGTTAATATAATACCTATAAAAATGTACCTTATTCCAGCAAATAAATGATATCAATTTCAATTTCATTATCGCAGTACCTTTCTATTACAGAAGCGTTGTCTAAGAATCATATACAATAAAAAAAGTGATGACTCAGTATATATATATATATATATATATATATATATATATATATATATATATATATATATATATATATATATATATATATATATATATATATATATATATATATATATATATATATGTTTACCAGAGGGAGACTGTAAAAAAACGATTGCTTGGGTACCTCTGTCCCATTCGTGTTTCTACCGTGAAGCAATTGTGTTTGCATGGCTGTGTTTCGGTTAGAAGGGTGGGATATGGCGTGAATTTACAGGGTACAGAGGAATAACATCTGAGTCCTCAGGAATGGCAACGCATGGGGGGTATCATGGGCGACACAGTACACTCTGTTATGTCCATCGTACTGCTCATGTCTATAAGCGATGGTTACCACTTTCCATCAGGTGGGTCGTCAGTTTGTTTGCCATTCTAAGTTGTATAAAAAAAAAAAAATATTTATTTCTATTCATTAAATTTATTATTTTAAAAAAGTAATTGTCGACTTTCTTGTTCTACTCAACAGATAACCATTTTTCGAATCCAGCGGTAAAATCATAAAAATTGATAATTAAAAAAATACATTCCTTATCAATCAACCTTTAATTAAACACAGTGACTTACAAATTTATGAATTGCAAATTATTTCAAAAATATCATCAAATGAAAATTGTTCGCGACATTATTTGTATATATCGTAATTTATAGTTGTTAAGTCCTAGTTAATCGTTTTGTATTCTGTTATTTATATAGATTTACATAGATTTAAGATAGTGTAAGTTAAATAAAGTATTCCTTTGTGTGTTGTCCTTATTACCTACGAATAGAAATAGAAATTGTAACAATAAATAGAATTAAGAAATTGTAAATTGCAATAAATAGACGCTATAGAGTACCGATCTGAAGAGACACGCGTCTCGTTCTTTCTCGCCCCGTCCCGCTCGCGCAGATTCGCTAACGTGAGTTGGAAACGTTATCATGCGAGCGGGCGGGTATAAAGATAGGCCGCCTCTCGTCGAGCGGCATTCGCTTCCGGGCAGCGACGCACTACACTCGAGAAGAAATAGGACAAGAAAAAATACTCTCTTCAGACGGTACCGGAGGCTTCAGAATAGTAATCGCTGTGTTTCACTCCAGCCTGAACCAACGCCCCTACAGTCCACGCTCACCGTACGGCAGTCCACACCGTTCATCGTGGTCCTTCGAGAAGCCGGATTGCTGGAGGAACACCGTTGGTACATCGAGAAGCCGGATCGCTGGAGGAAGACCATTCTGAAGCCGGATCGCTGAAATGCCGACTACGAGAAACATGAAGTCGTCGCAACAAAAAATCGCCGTCACCGAAGCCACAACGTCCGCCGCCACCACGTCGACTACGGCCGCCGGAACGCTGTCCGTCGCTGCCACGCCGTCCGTTGCTGCCACCACGTCGTCTGCGGCTGTCAGAATGCCTTCTGTCGCTGCCACGTCGTCTACCGCCGCCACCACATCGACTACGAACACGTCCGGCGATACGACGACCACAGGAGCCACGGAGACTACCGAAGCCACAGGAACGACAGAGGAGACAGCAAGGAAGAAGGAACCGAAGCACGGCACGGCACGCACGGTTCGCACCACGGCCTCGCAGAAGAAGAAGGCTCTGGCCAAGGCACGGGAGGAGCTACTTCGAAAGGAGGTGGAATTGGCCGCCGCACGTGTCGCCGCCCTGGAAGCCGAATCAGAGGACGACGAGGAAGTAGAAGACGACGACGCTACCGTCAGAAGAGAACGAACGTCGGATTGGGTTCGTCGAAGCACGCTGGCACTCACAATGGAGCCGCATGTACCAGAGATAGAAGAAGTCACCGGCAAGCGTCAGGGGTTCGTCCCATCGAGACCCGTTGAAGAGGATTCGAGAGCGCCGCCGCCACAGCCGAGCAGCGACGCACTTCACCGGGACCACGCACGCCACGTTGACCCACATGCCGCCATTCCTACGATAGCAGCAGCGATGCAGTCGATGAAGAAAGAAGAACCGGTGCTGAAGGTGGGCATCGATTGTAATGAGTTTGCGATCGCCATGCAGATGGCCGCTCGCAACATACTGCCCTCCACAGCGTCAAGAGTCACCGAGTTGCCAGTCTTCAATGGATCGTCGAGCGAGTGGTTACCATGGAAGATGGCCTATGAAGAGAGCGCAAGTCAACTCACAGAACAAGAGAACCTAGCAAGACTGCGCAGAAGTTTGAAGGGGGCCGCAAAGGACGCGGCACGCTCCCTATTCGTCGGGTCTACGACCGCAGAAGAAGTGATGAAGATGTTAGCCGCGAGGTTCGGCCGCCCTGGAGCACTCGTCACAGCCGAACTGAACAAACTCCGCGCGCTACCACGACTCTCGGACAACGCAAGAGACGTCTGCCTCTTCGCAAGCAAGGTGCAGAACGTCGTCGCCACGATACGAGCGCTGAACAAGAGTCACTACCTCTACAATGAAGAAATAGTGAGAAACGTCACAGAGAAGATGCCGTCGGTACTACGCTTCAAGTACTACGATTTCGCCAACGACCAACCGGAGGGACAACCGGACCTCATAACACTCTCTCAGTTCCTGCAAAGGACCGCCGCACAATGTGGAAACTTCGCCCCCGCCGAGGAGATACCGTCCGAAGACCGGCGGGAGTCCGCTCCTAGGAAGACGGCGAAGACATACACGACGCAGGAGAAACCCGCTACACCACCGTGCCCGATGTGTCGACGAGAGGGACACGCTCCATCGGACTGCAAGACGATGAAGGAAGCGGACACATCGGCGAGATGGGAGCTAGCGAAGACTCATAGGCTGTGTTTCCGTTGCCTCAAAGTGAGAAGATTTCGCCACGCCTGCAAGAGCAAGAGATGTGGAGTAGATGAGTGCACGCAGACTCATCACCCTCTGCTGCACACCACGCGACAACAGCCGGAGAATGAAGTAACAACACACGTCGTCGAGGACAAGTCCGCCGCAGTCACCGCATCAGCAAGGGAAAACGACAAGATCGCGTTCCTGAAGATCCTGCCGATACGAGTCACCGGTCCCACGGGAACGTGCGACACCTACGCGCTACTGGACGACGGGTCGACTTGCACCATCATCGAGACGGCGGTGGCGGAGCGAATCGGTGCTACGGGTCCCCCCGCACCATTCTACATGGAAGGTGTGGCCGGGGCACGGATCAACGCAGCTCAATCGACGCGTGTCCACTTCAAGATCCGTGGGCGGAATTCACAAGAATACACAGTGGGGGCACGGACGATGGACAGACTGCAGTTATCACCGCAGTCGGTACCGCGCAGCGTCATCAAGGGCTGTCCACATCTACAAGACATAGAGAGGGAATTGGTCTATGAAGAGGGCAAACCGACGGTACTGTTGGGGCAAGACAACTGGCACCTACTGCTGGCCCACGAAGTCAGAAGAGGATCCGACACGCAGCCGGTCGCATCACTCACCGACCTGGGATGGGTACTGCACGGTACGAGTCGCGGCAGGACAAGACAGCAGGTGCACAGAATCAGCCACATAGTGACGACACACGAAGAGGAACAATCGATGGAAGAAATGATGAAGCAACATTTCGCGCTCGAATCGCTGGGAATCGCACCGAAGAGGTCTTACAATGAAGAAGAACGTCGCGCCCTACGCATTTTAGAAGAGAAAACTCGTCCGTTACCGGCGGGAGGATACGAGACGGGGTTATTATGGAAGAAGGACGACCCTGTGCCGCCGGACAACTACGACTCGACGATGC